TCCATCTCTCTGTTAAGCATCTCAGTGAGGTCCTCCACTCTTTTCTTAAGTCCAGTGAGTAGCTTTATGACCATTACTTTATAAATTCTTTCTCAGGCATATTGCTTATCTCTGTTCCGTTTGCTCTCTTGCTGTGATTTTGTCCAGTTCTTTCATTTGGGACATATTCCTCTGTCTCCTCATTTTTTCTAACTCTCTGTGTCTGTTTCTATGTGTTAGGAAAGTCACTGACATCTGTTCTTGGAAGTAGTGGCCTTATGAAGAAGGGCTTCTATAGTGTGATGCAGTGCACTGTCCCCTGTTCACCAGAACCTGGTGCTTCAGGAGTGTCTCCTGTGTGTGCTTTGTGTGCCCTACTGTTGTGCCTGCGCCACTTTTGCCTTCAGTCCAGTGATCTGCAATGGCTGTCTTTCCCTGTTATGGGCAGGGTTTGGTCCCTGTGTGGTGACTGGGTGAGGCTGGGGCTGCCTTGGGCTTGAGTTGGGTTTGCCAGAGATGTGGTGGCACCAAACTGCTAGGCACTTTGGGGATGGATTCTTAGGAGCTGCTACTGTCTCCTAAGGTCTCCATTGCAGTCTTCTCAATGGAGAAAGACAAAAGGACCTGTGCGTTTTTGCCAGTGTGAGGGCACATCTAATATAGTAATATTTCCTATTTGTGCAACTGCTTCAACTGAGCGTCCCACATAAGTGGGGTGAATCCTGGCATGATGGAAACCATCTGTGTCCCTTACTTGATAGTGCCAAGGAGGGTGCACCTCAAGGACAACAATGCATCAGTTGCCCCAGAAGCATGTTTCTCTGGCCTACGGTCCTTTCTTTTTATTCTCCATCCAGTAGATGTGCTTTGGGTGTCAGCACAAACCTGAAAATGGCTCGTGAGGCACTCTATTCCCTCCTATAGTGACACAGCACCATACAGCTACTAAGTACGGCTTCGTTTAAATTTGGGTGAAAAAGAAAAAGAGATCCCTGAGGTAATTTGTGAGACAGAGAGAATAAGGATCTATAGGGTTTTAGTTTTTGGTTTATATACACCACTCTCCTCTGCTATGTGCAAAGTAGATGGAAACACCGTGATACTGATCTCAAGCTGCTGAAATCAGTGTGCCCACCCACATGGGCCCTGATATGAAAGACAGGCACATCTGGTCTGGTTCCCTGTAGCCAGGCCTTGAAGTTATCACACCTGGCCTCATGCAAGCACAGAAGCTGAGGCATAAGGTGATTAATAATTCATGCAATTGATTCCAGGCTAGCTTTACTCCAATGTTTTCCCTGGCCTGATGACTGCATACTCCCAGGAGACTCACCTTTTCCTCTTAAGGATCTAACAATTCAGTTTTCTGGAGGCCAGGCAACAAGGGAGGGATGGAACAGTAGGCTCCAACCAGTTACAGATTGTGCATTTCAAAAGTTGGAGCAAGATTCTCAAAGTTGGATTGGCTTTTCTGCATTTCTAAAATCATTTAAATCCTAGCAATGTCATCATCTGATACTTGAAAACCCTAAATACATCTGAAAATCCTACTTTGGTGCAAAGAGAAAAATTTCTAAATGAAGTCAATTTTAGACAGGACAGGGTGAGAGAGAATCCTAGGGCCTGAGGTCAAAAGGTACCATGGCTGTCTTATCATTAATACCCGAAATATTTCCATGTCGTATATTACCATGTCTCTTTATCTCCATAGACCAAGTTCTCCACACAGAAAATGGTGGGTTTTTTTTGGGACAAAGTTCCTGTTGCTCCCTCTTTACTGCAATTCCCTCCTCCATAAGTGTCCAGGACCCTAACTTCTGCCCTCAGACCCACCTGGCAATGTACTTCAATAACTTCATGTTTCCTTTTAGAACGAGGCTGGGTAGAAATACACATACATATATATCTTCCCTGCTGGTTTTGGTCTTTGGGAATATGATTCCATAAGATTTTTAGGGAGTTGAACAGGCTCACTCAAATGAATCCGTTAAGAGCTGCTTAGATGACTACACTTATTCTTGGGACATCTGAACTTTATTGTTCTTCAAAGCTAAAAGAAAGATTTTCTAATGGTGGTATTTTAGGTGTTAGAAACAAATAAGAGGATCATTATTTCTCAGTAAAGGAGGCTGACTGACATTTATAGGTGATATGGTCAGGCTGGTCTTAAATGAAATAGAATAATGAAATCAAGAATATCAGAGCAGAAGGGAGGTAAACCTGTGCAAAGATGTTCTTGTTGAGAGAGAAAAGAGACTGAGAGAAATGAAATGACTTGCCAAGCTTCAACAGAGGCATTATTTGCCCTCCAACATTATTTCTGCCCTTTTCTCTTGCTATGTAACCAGCTGAATCCAGACTACATGCTCCAGCCTCCCTTGCAGCTAGATATGGTCATATGCAGCTTGGTTCTATGTAGCCAAGGGGATATGAATAGTAGGTTGTGTTTGACTATCTGGAAGAGTTCTTCTTTCCTTTCACCTTCCTGCTGGTTGAAACACTGACTTGATGGGTAGAGATAAGTAGCCACCTTGGACCACGACACAGAAGTTATGTGTTCTCTGGTGTGCTCAAGGATGGGTCTTTGAAACATAGATTTCTAGATTGACTGCTTCTTAGACTTCTTTAAGTGTGAGAGAAATAAATGACAGTCTTTGTTTAAGCCACTATTGCATTGAATTTTTGTGTTACTCTCAACCATATCTAATCTAAACTGCTAGATCAGTAGTCTGGAAAAGTTTTAATTGATTCACATGGCTTGATGGAGGAAGGCAGCAAGAGTGATGGACAAGACCTGATTCTAAGTCTAAGATAGAAAATGCTTTAAATACTTTACATCAAGGCGATCTCACATACTGATCCACCAACAGCTGCATCAGAATTACCTGGCACAGCAGGGCGCCTGGGTGGCTCAGTTGGTTAAGCATCTGCCTTAGGCTCAGGTCATGATCCCAAGGTCCTAGGATCGAGCCCCACATCGGGCTCCCTCCCCCACTCCCCCTGCTTGTGTTCCCTCTCTCGCTGTGTCTCTCTCTCTCTGTCAAATAAATAAATAAATAAATAAATAAAAATCTAAAAAAAAAGAATTACCTGGCACAGGGTCCTACAAATCCAGATTCCTGGGTCCCTTTCCTGGAGATTCTGATTTAATAGATTTTCTATGAGTCTCATGAACTTATATTATTTAAAAATCTCCCCATGTAATCCTGACATCTAGGTACATTTGGAAGGCATTTGATCTAGAATTGTTCTTTGCTGGGGAGGTGAGTCAGAACCACCAGAAAAAATTTTTCTCCCTCAAACACAGATGCCTTCATGGACACATGAAAATGAGAGACTGGGGGGAGAGTGAGGTGCAAATATTTTGATACTCTGAATTCTGAAATAAGTGATTCCTTAGGCTCTTTGGATCCCCTCTCCTTCTCCCTGCACCCAACCAGAGCCATGCAAATGTCACCCTAACAGGCCACTCTCTATCAGGTTAGCCTTAGTTCAGGTAAACTTCAATGATATAATTGTATGTGGTCGGTGTTTTGATGGTTTGTTTTTTTTTTAACAGATTACATTTTCTGTGGGAAGTTTATTCACTTCCAGTGTGCATTATAACACATTAATGAATCATAAGTGTATTTGGGATTAAAAGAACTATTATTAACGTGCAGGAAGAGTTCACTTTTTCAAGATTCCAGGGCCTCACACATCAGAGGTTGAATTTTTGGTACCTACAAAATGCAAGGTCAGCAGATTCAGTCAAACAGCTGTCAGCTGAAGTTGTTCTAAAAGCACTTGGGCACACCAGCAGGTTCTCCTGGCAGTAAAGGTGACAGGCATGGCAAAGTGTTGCCAGAAGGCAGATCGTGGCCGGTGTGAGACATTCTCAATAGCAGTGGATAGAATGGGATTATATTAAGCAGCATGTCCACACCAAAGTAATCCTTTTACAAGATCCCCCCCTCATGTTGACAGTTACAGGCTGCTTGGCAGCTCTGGTCTCCCACCTTCTTCTGGGAAGCTAGAGAAACACCTTCCACCAGAAGGAAGCCTCCCAGTCACCAGGCCATTGGCAAATCTCAGCAGAAATAAAATAAAACAGAACCAAAGATCCATTCTAAGACAAATTTGAAGAGGGCCAAGGATAGCAAAGACCTAACTCCAGCTGGGTCACCAACTAACCCAGTCTCAGTCTGGGTAAGCCACTCAACTTTTCTAGTTTTTAGAATCAAGGGGTTGAACTTGATGAACTGTGAACTCCCTTTTAAGAGTTGTACAATTTTATATTTATCTTATAGGAAACTGCATTATACGTAAGTGGGTGAAAGTAAAAGCTTCCTTTTATCAATTATATATTTGCTTTTATTTTGAAAAGATAAAAATCCTAAATCCCAATGTAAAATCATCAGACACATGCACGCATGCATACCCTTTAGAACCCGAATTTCTGGAAATGGTTTCTTGGTTGCCTAATCCCCACAAACTGATGGCATTCTGCTGTTCCTGCCAAAAGATTCTATTATGCAAATATTTAGGCTACACCTTTTAAGCATGCATGAACATTTATTTCACTCTTCCAAGTAACATCATCCAGAGGGCTCAAACGATACTGAATCCAGGTATTTATTGACAGGATAGCTATGATCTTATTAATAGGTATGTCTAAGACCTAACCCTATGCTTCCTGATGGTTTCCTTAAGCAAAACTGCAACCAGAAATGAAAGACAACGCTTTTATTGGTTATTGTTATTACAAAGTGGTCTTGAAACTGTCATAGTGCTCCCTCCATTTTAATCCTTCCCCTTCCTCAGGTGACACTTGGCCAGCAATGAGATCCTTACTTCCTGAACCTTCCACCTAGCCCTGCTATAATGTGCCCTTGATCCAAAGGCCACTGTCCATGCAAAAGTTTTTAAAAGAGAAAATGGGAACTCTCAGAAGTTCCAGGACATATTTGGAGGTCAGAGAGCCCCAATGGATGAAGCACCAAAGGAATTTAGGGAAATGGAGAGAAAAAAGCCAAACTTACTTCATCCACATGCCCCACAGCTCCATAGATTCTTGCCATTTGTCCGATGAGGTAGGGGAATCTCTCACCAATCTCTTTCAGCATTGGAAGAAAACTGTTCAAAGCCACAGGTTCATAGCCTGCTATCTCTGTGAGGATGTTTAGGATGACATCATTATGGGTTGAGTCTTTCAAATGCCCGATTAGGAAAGGAATACACTTCTGAGCCACCTACAAAAAGAAAAGAGAAGAAAGAGAAACAAGGAGGAAAATTAATTAAATCAGAATCAATCTAATATTTTTTGCATGAAATCTAAAGTCAACACATTCTGAGATTATTGCCCTTGCTGGAACTCAAGCATATCCCCCAAGTCTGGAATTTAAAATTTATAATAAAGTTTCAGAGGATTCAGTTTCTTTTCATCTGTGCTCTGCTATTGAAGAGTAAAGTTTACAAAAATTTTTAGATACTGCTAATCATAAATCAAGTTTTGATGTGTTATGTCCTCACCAGGAATATTACATTTCCTCTAACCCACCATGAGAGCTGTAATCTAAAGGGCAATATGATATAAGTATGTCAAAGATCCTTGATGACTTTAATGAAAGCCTTCAAGTTGCAGAAGTATGCCTTGGAAATATTTAATAATAAAAATAAGAAAGCAAGAAAGAGCTTTTACATTTTCTTCAATTTTCCATTTTGATCACAAAAATGTACTAAGATAAAAAAGATTACCAATGTAAAATAATTTCTACCATATTCCTGATACCCTAATGTTGCTTTCTTGACTTGGAATGCTTTTGTGAATACAAAGATACAATAATTCATATTAGAGAAAATGTGACCTTTTGTAGAATAAAGTCACTGTTAATATTAATACATAGACACGTTGCACACTGACAAGTTAATGAATTGTTTTGTCTGCTAAAATAAAATAATTAGAAAGGATGACCCATGGAAAACTGAACAATAAAGTAAAAACAATTTGCCCATCCATAGTTCTACTCTGCTGATTTCTTTTTTGATGTTGGTTTGCTCTTTTGGTTTGTTACTTTTTTTGGTAAGGTTGACCTGAAATGTAGCTTCCAGTATTAAAAGAGAATCTGATACTCAGCTCAACCTGCTAAATTTATAATCCACCCCCTGCCAAAAACCTACTTCTCCCACTTCCCTTTCTAGCCTTAAGTATCCCTTTTCTCCATAAATGGCACCATTATCTGCCTGGCTACTCAAGCCAGAAATCTGGGAGTCACTCTTGACTGCTGTCTCTCCCTTTTCAGCAGCCTCATCCAAGCAACCACCAAGTTTTATTGATTCCACTTCTCAAGTATCCCACAGATCTCTCCACTTCCCTTCATTTTCATTCATTTTTTTGAGAACTCATTCATTCACAAATATTTATCGAGTCCTCCCTATTTGCAAGGGAGTGTTCTGGTGCCAATGTTACAGCTGCTAATAAATCTGACAGGTTCCTGCCTTTGTGGAATACTTCACTGTCTAGTAAAGGAGACATTTGGTAAAACAAATAATTACAAAGGAAATGTATAATCATAAATTCTAATAAATGCCATACCGGGGAAATACAAGGTACTGTGAGAGACTGTCCTGGGGCCCTAGTTTAGGCTGGGGTCAGGGAAGTACTCTCTCAGCAGGCACACCTAAGCTGAGACCACTGATCCCATCATCCCAAACTTGCATTATGCCAACAGCTTTCTAATTATTCTCTCTGCCTTCAATCTCGTCCATTCAATTCCTTTTCTGCTTTGTGGCCACGATGGTGACCCTTCCTCTGCTTAACATACTTCACTAATTTGCCATTGCTCTCCAGATAGAGGTTTAACATACCTTTTCTGAATGGACTCCTATCCAACTTTCTAGACTTATCTTACTTATCCTACCCTCCCCATCCAGATTCTATCACATATCATATTCAACCTTGTTGATTTAAAAAAAAAAAATTGTGGACCTGCTAAGTTTTCTCTTGCATCTAGTATCTTACTCATGTGATCCACTCTGCCTACAATTCTTACTGCCCCTATTTTGCTGGACACTCCTCATTCTTGAGGCCTCAGATTAGCTGCTGTTTCCTTTAAAAACCTTCCTCTACTCCCTTCTCTCCCCACTCAGTCCAATGTCCTGGCTGAGGCCCCTATCATACCCTAAATGTCTCCCAGCAAACCCTTCTCATGCTTTCTTCATATTGCTGGTCTAGATGTCTGTTTTGCAGGCTGGATTAAAAACTCTACAAGGTCAAGACTCAATTCTAATTTGTACTCCATTGTATACCCAAAGCCTAGCACAGAGCCTGGCCAGAAGATGAGTCAATAAATATTTGAGGAACAAATCAAAGGAAGACAAGTCTAGATGATTTTACAGGGTAGCATTTGAATAACCTCTACACTCCTCCCCATAGTGTTGAATAGTTGTACATAATGTTTAAACGTACATATTGTCACATGTCATATACAAGATAATTAATAGGGACATAAAAAAGACATTTTGAGATGACTAAAATTATCCTACATATAAATTTAAACTTGATATTGATATCCAGTACTTGTGAAGGAAGGGCCATGGCTAGTTTCCGATATATGGCACATATGAATGAACAGTTCCATAAATGCTTCCTGTGCATTTGGGAGTGGTTGCATGTCCTTCAGGAGAAACCACAAGAGATCCCTGGCACATAAAGCAGAAGTGTCAGCCAGCTGCTCTGGGTCAGGGCAACGTACCTAACCTGAGTCTTTTAGGAATGGAAAATGCTTACACATTTCCTGCCCCATTCTATAAAATTCCATTTCCTAGTCCTTACTCTTCATGTCCTATTCCTGGAACATGAAGGTCTCTATGACATGTGCTTCCAGTCATGCCAATTTTATTTAAACTCCAGCCATACATCCCAAGCCATGCAAAAGAATATTGTATCCATGTCCCATAAAGGAAAAGACAAAAGAAAAAAAACAAGCAAGCAAGCAAGCAAGCAAGCTAGCTGGCGCAAGGCGAATATATATGCTTAGGCAGAGTTGAATCCATAGAAGCAAAGAGAAGCCTTGAATAGTATAAACAAAGTAATTTTCCCAATTAAACAAAAGTTGATTATTTTGCAATTTCCTGATAGCCCAAAGCTTATTATGCTGGTGATAGAAAGGATAGATATTTCTTGAAGTTTATCACACACATGAAAGGCAAGTGGTGCTTTGCACTTTAGATAAATTATTCGTGGATAAGAAGGAATTTTATTTTCTAAACACAGGACATTTCCTTAGGCTGCTCTCTTTCATGTTGCTTCATTGGGAGCTGCTTCATCTCTCAGAGGAAGCCGTGTCATCACTGAGAGCAGAGTAGCCACTAAGACAGCACCCATGGCTGGCGGAGAGCAAGCCGACATGGCCTTTATTCAGGCCATAAGCCTCGTGGCACAGACCTCTGAAAGAGCTTCCCAACTGGCCTCCTGGCCTCAAGTCTCTCTTCCTCCTATTCTGCTGTCATTGTCCTAAAGCCCCATTATAATCACGTCAAGACTTCAAAGATTTCTCATGGCCTGTGGCTGGAATCCCAATGCCATGGCATTCACTGACGGCCATATCTGCTGCCTCTTCCACCATGAACTCTGACCAAGAGACATGCCACCAATCACCCACAGTTGGCTTGAACACAGAGAGAACTCTGATGCTTTCAGAGCCCATCTCAAATGGCTCTACTGCTGGGAGGCCTTCCCCATAGCCCACTCTAACACATGCAGGGCCAGGAGCTAGAGGACAAATAAAGGTCGCCACACCACACACTAAAATGCTCAGCAACTATGCCTCTGCCTGACACATACACCTTTATAACAATCTAGGAGGCCTGCTTTGCATTTGGAATTTTGGGCCTGTATAGAGGGAACAGAGAGACATGACCCCTAGACCCCATTTCTTGCCCCTCTTTTCTCTTTCTGCCCCTGGCTTTGCCCTGCAAGGAGTCGCGCATGCATGTATGTGAATAGCCCAGCCCACATATGCAAGCTCATCTGGGATACCCTTCAGGCCTGTGGGGTCACACTGTCAGCATGGCCTGTCCTTGGGAGAACAGATCCAGGGACCAGGCCTGTTGAAGCCCTGGGAGCAGGAAGGAGATACACAGGAAAAGATTCCAAGGTTCCAGTTACCTGGACTACATTTAGTAGGTGAAGGAATGCATGGAAACTGGGGGAACACGGAGATGGGGGCCAGACCAGGATCCTCTAAAGTAAATAGCCCAGGGAAGGCACCTATCTCTGGCTTCTCCACTCCTTCCAGAGCAGAATTAATCACTGCCTTTTTTGTGCTCCCAAAGCATTATGCTGACAGGCTTAGCATCTTGTCATTGACCTGAAGTTTTGTCGATGCGTCTCATCACCCCAGGCCATGGGGACCTTGAGGGTAGGGCCTCTGAACACATAGAACCATAACTTAATTGGCAGCAAATGACACTTCAATTCTTATGCATAGAATAAAAGTTAGAGCTATTGTGTATGTGCACACGTGTGTACATGTGTGGTTATGTACTCCCTCTTAAATTAGTCCTCAGGCTCAATTTCTCTTCTAATTAACTTGGCCAGCATTAACAATCTATTAATCTCCAAAATTCTGTAATAACTGTCACTCTTCATTTGCTAATTACTCCTACCATACTGACAAAATATATATTCTTTTTTAAAAAATTTTTTTATTTATTCATTTGAGACACAGAGATAGAGAGAGAATATGAGCAGGGGGAGAAGCAGGCCCCCAGCTGAGCAGGGAGCCCAATGCGGGGCTCAATCCCAGGACCCTGGGATCATGACCTGAGCCGAAGGCAGACGCTTAACCATCTGAGCCACCCAGGTGCCCCCAAAATATATATTCTTAAAGCCATGCGTCTGCTCCAGAGACCATTGTAGAACAGTCTATATATTCCACCACTCCATCTTCTTAATGTTCTGCAAATGGCTTCTTATTTTAAATAAATACCAAAAGTGGCCTCTGAGTATTGTCAGCCAGATGATGCTGGGTTAGGTGCTGTAGGATTAGGTATGTGAATAGGAATGGTCTAAGCTGTTGAGAGAAAATCCAAGAAAATGACTCTCTCCTCTAGGGACCAGACCACAAAAGCAGTTCCTCTGGGTTTGGACATTAACCAACAGAGGGCTGACACTGCTATTTTCTGCCACTCATTCCTGTATGGTTGGGGCTAGAGGCCCAAGTCCTGGGGATAATAACAGATGGGCTCC